TCAACTGCGCAAGGCGCTTTGGCGTTGGGCGGGTTGCATCTCGGGTGCGGCGCGCAGCCATGCTGCGCGCCAGCCTGCTAGATGGTGCAGCTGGGGCGCGCGCCTGTTGCCGAGCGGGCTGGGTCGCTTCGCCTGCTCGGATCTGTCGCCCGCTTGCTTTTGCTGAGGTGAACGGCCGCCCCTGGCGCTCGAGTGAATCTGCGCGCGCGCGGAGGCGCGCGAGACCGAGCGCCGCCTCTGCAGGGCTCGGTCCGAGGGGCAGCGCAAGCAGGGGGCGCCCGTTCCCTGCGGGCGCGGGGATCAAATCGCCATCGGGGATCGGTCATGGACCAGTTGGCCCTCGGCGCCCTTCGCGGGGGCAGGAGGGTGGGCCCGCCCCCTCCAGTCGAGGCGTTCTCGGGGAGATGGAGCTCGCCCACCCGAAGGACATCGTGGATTTCAAGAGTAAGGGGTGGCAGGCTAAGCGGGCCCCTCGCCCGCTCCACGAGGGCAAGATGGCGCGGGCCTTTGCTGCTGATCGCGAGGCCACGAGGTCTGAGCCGTTGGACCCCATCGCGGCCGATGAAATCAGGGCGGCGGCGCACGCGATGAAGGCCCGCACGGGTCACGGCGCGGACAGAACGACGCCGGTGAACGTCGAGAGGCCTCCGCAGAGCGCGCTTCAGGCTGGCGGAGCTGCTCAGCGCGATCGAGCACGCTCTGGCGCGGCCGCGCCAGACCCAGCTCATCATCGGCAAGCTTCCGCCGAAGAAGCTGGCCGGCAATCGCGCGGTCGGCCTCTTGTCGTTCTTGGGTGGTCGCTGATTCGCGAGAACCACGTCCGCGAGTGGCGCTCTCTTGTCGAGGGCGCGCGGGATGCAGCCACGCGTGGTAACGCGCCCTTGAGGGGGGCGCTCCAGCGGACCTTCCAGGGGGAGGTCGCGGGAATTCAGGGCACGCCCTTCGGGCGCGGGCTCGTGGACGTGAAATGACAATATCGCATGGGACATTTTGGTTGCAGTTTCTTTCAAGTTGGGACATCCCCCGACGATCATGTTCCTGGAGCTGTCTCAGCGCATGGCTCCTCGCACGCTCTACCAGATGAGTGCGGTGAGCGACCCCTTGGCTACTCGGCCTGAGCGGCAGGACCCATGCATTAAGTTGCCTTGCGACGTCTGTGTCTTTTGCATACGACAGTGGTTCACGTATCTTCACATCCGCCCAGGCGTTCACCATGCTTGGCCCGAATTGGCGCAGCAGCTGCAGGGCATGGCCCCAGCGAAATGGTCGCGATGGGCCCGGGGGCCCATGACTGCCATTATCATCGCGTTGTTGGAGAGAGGCTGGTCACCTGAGTCCCCGACGTGCTGGCACCCTTTGGATGAAATGTCGCGGCAGTTTCCAGCATCCGATGATCGCGATGAGCAGGCGCTTAGCAATTTATTATTGCAGGTCTTTGACCATTCCTCAGCAGTTGGACATTGGGCTCGGGCGTCTCGTCATGTTTGAGGGTTTGGCTTGGAGCACGGAGTTACTAATTATTCGCGGCAGATGTTGTTACGCTACGTGGAAACCTTACCACGTGGACGTAGTCTGGCAGAAACTGTAGTGTCGAATGCAACGGGAGGAGCATGGCCAAGGGAACGGAAAGCAGCAGCGAGTTCCTAGTTTCAGGTGTGCCCGATGCGTCCGAGGTGCCAGGTCTGCGTGGAGACCTTTTATGCATTGCTCCTGACATGCAGGGCCGACGAGGGTGCGGAGGCCTATTCTAGGTTTGCAGAGCGACTCCCGAAGGCTTTGGGGCATCATGCGACCGATGAAGTTTTATGGTTATGTGGCCTCATTCCCAGGAGGTGGACGGAGCTGCCACCCTCGCCCTCGCAGGAGTCGTGGTCAGGGACGGGCGCGCTGCAAGACGGAAGGCAGGCAGGGTGCTTGGGACCTGGGAGCGCCCTCCAGCTTGTTGCTGCGTTTGGCGATTCGGGCGGGGGCCTTGACTCGAGAGACCGACCTCGCCCTGGAGGCGGCGCTGCTCTGTCATCTGCCTGGAGGCGACCAGTCTGCGCCGAGACGGAGCCGTACATGTTGCTCATGGCGGCTTGCCCAACCACGGGCCACGCTGTTATGTTACCGACAATCGGATGGTGTAGAGTGGATGGCACAATTTGACGTACTTGAATGCTGGAGTTGGGCTGGCTGGGCTATGGGCCCGAGTGGGGCTAGAACTCCAGCATCGCGAGTCCGGCCACTCTGCAGTCCTGTTCGTCAACTCGCGCCACACGGCCGAGATGGCGAAAAGGGCTGGTACGCCAGCGTGGCTGGTCTGTGGCACCTGCATGGCGGGCGAGCTGGCAGGCGAGGCTGCTGCCAGGGCGAGGCTGCCTCAGGCCGTCAGGGCCCCTTATGGCCGTGGTCGAGAAGCAGGCGACGCAGGTCCGCATGCGCTTGGCGAGGGCGTCGCTGGACGCGATCGCGGCGGAGGAGCAGGCGCTCGGGGGCGCCCGAGCCCCGCGGCGGGGCAGGACTGTTGAGGCGAGTGAGGGAAGAGGGCCTGCTGCTCCTCCTCCGCCTCCTCCTCCTCCTCCTCCTCCTCCGCCTGTCCTCCCTTCCCCTTTCCCCGAGGCTGTGTCCATCGTGTGGAGCCCTCACGCCCTGGACGAGTCGGGGAGTCGGTGCCGCCGCTGTCGGGGGTCCTCGTCGAAGTCTGCGCTGAAGAGGTGGAGAGCATCGGAATGCTTCCAACTTCGAATTCTGATCCCCCGCTGGCGCTTTAGAAACCTGACGTGCTCGGGAGCCTTGAGACGGGGATCGACGCATGGAAGCTCGACCTGCAGGGCAGGGCTCTCGCGTGGTTGACTGCCGTTCGGCAGAAAACCAAAAAATGAAACATCTGAATGCTTCCAATTTGTCACTCTCAGTAGCTCCCCTCGGGTTCCTCCTCCTTGGGCAGAATTGCACATCGCAGGGGGGCGGGTCCATCTCTCGCACGAGATGAGATATCATGAGGATGCTGGTGCTTGGTGTTGCTCAGTGCGTGTGGAATGTTCAGTGATC